GGAGTGCACTCCCCAGAGCTGCCTGGTTCAGGGCAGACCTCCTGACTCTCCTGGAGCTGGGCCCAGGGCTGTTTAGGCCTTTGAGAACGGGGGCCAATTGGGTGAGAGTCGCCATGTGGGCACCTTTTCTTATGTTTAGCTCTCTGCTCTGGCTGTTTCCCATGCCAGCTGTGGGAACCCTTGGTTCTCTGTTCATATCGCCTGTTGTGGGCCCAGTCATGTCCTTTGTGGGATCGTTGGGGTGGTGTCAGTTATGTACCAGCTGTTTGACCTGTTTGTACCCCCGGCGGTCACTCATGCCACGATGTTTTTGTTACACTACAGCCTGTGCACTGGTGTCTCTTCCTGCTGGCTGTGTCCTTCCTGTCAGGCCTGGTCATTGGCAGAACAATCCCTGGGCTGCGTATTTTGTGAGGTCATTTTCTGGATCTTCCTGTTCTTGTGCTTGCAGTCAAACCTATAATGATGGACTGGCCTATGAGAAAATGTTCTCTGTGGAGGACTCCACACACAGAGCACTACAGCCTGTGCACTGGTGTCTCTTCCTGCTGGCTGTGTCCTTCCTGTCAGGCCTGGTCATTGGCAGAACAATCCCTGGGCTGCGTATTTTGTGAGGTCATTTTCTGGATCTTCCTGTTCTTGTGCTTGCAGTCAAACCTATAATGATGGACTGGCCTATGAGAAAATGTTCTCTGTGGAGGACTCCACACACAGAGAATGTCCCTTCCTATGCTGCCCAGGAGGAAGGCAGGATGAAGGGCACTGTGACAATTTTAACTCCCTATTTTATGTCCCTTTAGGCAAGCAGGTGCCCACTTGGCAACCACGGAACAAGTAATTAATTTATGTCTGTGCTGTGGCGTTATTTTAAAATCCAGCTGGGATTTTTGGTTCTTCCCTCCAGCCTTCTCTCTCTTCCTGTCCTGTCATGAGAATCCCTTGCCCAGCTGGAGGAACTCCTGCAGAGGACACACAGCACTGGGCTGAAAGGGGCTCCCCTGGGTCTCGTTGCAGGTTTCAGACAGCCTGGCCCCAATAATGCCTCTGCAGTACGTCTGTGCCCCCGACAGCGAGCACACGTTGCTGGCAGCCCCTTCCCAGTTCCTGCTGGAGAAATTCCTTCAACACGCCACGTACAAACTCTTCCCCAAGGCCGTCCACAACTTCAAGAACCCAGTGCTGGCCATCGACTGCTACCTGAACGTGGGGCTGGAGGTACCACAGGCTTACAGGGGTGTGGGGGGAGGTCGATGCACACCTTCACTTCATCACCTGTCTTGTGTTGAAAAGCCCTTTTATGAACCCTCAGACATCAAGGGCAGCACCTGTAGGCTCTGGGCTCCACAGTGAGCCTCTGTTAGAGCTACAGGATGAACTCCACCTGAAGAGCTGGCTGGTGTGGGTGTAACCAGAGGTCTGTGATGAACTGAGGTGATTTGGAAAGGAATCAGGCCTGTCTGTCTAATATTTCATGTAAAGCAGAAACCTGAAGGGGATGCTGTTCTTGGCAGAACTTGGTGTGCTGCATGGGCTGTACATGAACTATGCACAGCAGCTTTTAGATCACTGTCCTATCGGACTGCCCTTCATTCTCTGTGTTTGATTTGTACCTGAAATGGACTCGTTTTGGCCAGGAGAGTCTCTGCTGCAGCCCTTGTCTGGTGTCTTGCTTCCCTGATGGACAAGGCTCACCCTCTGTAATGCAGCTCTCCTTTAGGTGCTTTGCTTTTTATGCACCTGGGTTTCTAGGGAACCCAGGTTTTTGCAAGTATGTCTTTGATCTCTGTAGGTAGGGAGATCAGATTTTTGAACCCACTGGTCAGTTTGAACTAGGTCTGAAGCAGGGTGAAAGTCTAACAAGGTTATTAGAACAACCTAAATAATCTTAGCAGTCATTATAAGCTGGTAATTGCAAGAGGAGCAAATAATCAGCCCGAATTCCAGAGAGCCCTGACATAATGTGCACACACTTGGTGCCCAGGTCCGAATCTGGGCGTTTGTTCTGCGTGTTACTTCCACGGGGGTTTGCTCAGGGCTGCGTCCTGCTGGGCTCGTCTGCCCCAGCCCCCTGCCCTGACAGGGGCTGCCCCCGCTGCCCTGCTTTCAGGTGGCCATCTGCTACGTCAGCTCGCGGCCGCACTCGGTGAACGTGGACTGCGCGGGGGTGTCCTTCAGCGGGCTCCTGCTCTACCTCTGCGACTCCTTCGTCGGCGCCGAGCTGCTCAAGCGCTTCCGCTTCCTGAAAGGTGAGCCGGCTGCTCCCGCCCCCCCTGCTCCCGCCCCCCCGCAGGGCCGGGGCTGCAGGAGTCCCCTGCCTCAGAGGGGCTGCTCCCGCCCCCGGGAGATGAACAGCTGGAGCCTTGCTTCTGGGAGTGCGGGCAGTGTGCTGAGCACCCTCCCCAGGCTCTGAGCAGGTACCTCAGTGACATTAAAGGGACATCCAGAGGAAGGAGGTGTGGAAAAACATGGAAGTCGAGTCAGTGATTCCTGCAGTCATCCACCTGAGAGGTTAGAGCAGAGGTGCTACTGATGAAGATAAGGAATTCTGCTCTAGTAGTCCATCTAGAATGGCAATAAATAGTCAGTATATTAATATTCAGAGGGGCAGCTCTTAGCTGGATGGTGTGGGGCCTACCCTCACCAGAACTCTATAAATCCCATTAAATCTTTCTTCATTGTTCTATCTTAACACCAACAGCTAGTCAATGGCCACAGCTCCTCTGCAGTGCTCCAGTGCATTACACAGCTCTGGTGCGTTTGTGGTGGCCAAAGGTGTGTCCCGAGCCCTCGCTGACAGACGCTTCTCATGCCCCTTTTTCCTGCCTAGCAGCAGAAATTCTGTGCTCTCAGGGCAGTGGGCGGGGCGGGCAGCGCTGCTGCCGTGCCCCGAGGTCTGAGGTGTGTCTCTGCAGGTGCCACCCTGTGTGTCATCTGCCAGGACCGCAGCTCCCTGCGGCAGACCATCGTGCGGCTGGAGCTGGAGGACGAGTGGCAGTTCCGCCTGCGGGACGAGTTCCAGACCGCCAACAGCAGCGAGGACAAGCCCCTCTACTTCCTCACCGGCCGCCACATCTAGGCCGCACCCCGCCCCTCGGATCAGGGGGAGGAAGAACTCTCTCTGCTTTTGTTGTCTAAAAAAAGTACAATCACTGTGGAGCGAAGTGCAACCCGTATTTATCTTGACTGCTCTGAAGGATTACCCGCCACCCTGCGGTAAGCTCTAATCCTAGGGATGAAACGGCCACATCAGGCACCAGGTAAAGGGTCCCGGACTCCAGTTACTTTCAGGAGTCAGCCACCGACGCTGATCGCACAGCTCACCAAGCTGCAGGAGCTGGGAACAGGACACAGAACTGCTTGAAGACGAGTCCTTCTCTATTCAGCTGAGCCAGGGGCAGCTGCTGTCGGCAGCTGCTGGCTTGAATGTGTCCCATGAACTGCAGCCCAGCACGTGGAGTCAATGAGAGATGTGTGGAGGAGAGCCCATCGTGTCTCTTCAGCTCTGTACTGTGGTACAGGAATACTCAGGGGTTTGAAACTACACTATAACGTAGGTATTTGTACTAAAATAGTCTCGTTCTCTGTGCAGAGTTAGTTTAAAATTTGTAATTGTGGATGTATTGAAACTGTCTTTGGCAAAATTTCCACGGGTGTTCGAAGTTTACTACTTAAGCCTGAACAAATCAGCGAAGGCACGGCAGGCACGGTGCCCCAGGGTCTCCAGCACCATTGTCCCCCCACCAGGCACCTCCTCGCCTCCAGGGACAAAGCAAAAGGCTGCTTGTAGATTCTCCCTCCTCAGAGGCCCCAACAGCTCATCAGCAACTGCCCCTCAGCTTCCTGTCAGCCCTGACAGCCTGTGTCCCTTCCTCTGCCTGACCTCTGTGAATACTGGTTCTAGAGGGGGTCGCACGTTGTTCTGCTCACAGGCACGTTACTGAGCCGTGAGAATTGTGGCAGGAGGAACCTGAGCAGTGGCAGGGGGGTGTCAGGGTTAACTCCTGCTGGTTCTGTTCCCCTCAGCTAACAGGGGTCACCCACGGAGGGCTCTGTGCAAAAGAAAATCCTCCTGCACGTCGTGACCCCCTTATTTAACAGAAAAAAGCAGCATGTCCTTAGAAGTGATTCAGGAATGTCCACTTACCCCCCAGAAAGCAATGAAGTGAACTTGACCTCCAACTCATCAGTGAAGGATCTGCCAAAGCTGCAATTTTTTTTTACATGTAGTGTTAATTAAGCAACTTTTTTTATCTTGTGAAAAGAGATGTTTACAGATGAAAAAACATAATATATTGAACAGAGGCTAAAGGAAAGTGGTTTGCCTATGTCTGTGTTAATGTAGTAGCTTAACTCTGATGCTGTAAATTTAGCAACTTTCAGATGAACAACCCATTTCTGTAAATGGATTTTCCTTCAGCCACAACCTGCCTTATCTATTTTGTCACTTGGAAGAAGCAGGGACACGAAGTGCTTCTGGAAGCTTTTGCTACACACCTGAATGTATTCCAGTCGTTCTGGTTTTGCCAGAAGGGCCTGAGGCCGACCCGAGTCTCAGCACAGGGTAGAAGTTTCAGGTATTGCATGTTCAGGAACGGTTTCCTTTTTGTTTGTGTATTTGATGTTTGCACTAAGTTCTTAAAATTCCAGGTGCTGAGACGACGCTGAGGCGCTGGCCCTCTGGTGAAGCCGTGTGAGATTGGCTGAGTGTTGAGGGCAGGGAGCCAGGCAGCCTCTCTGCCTGTACCAAACAGGAGCAAACCCGTTTCCTTACCCCCCTCCACGGAGGAGCAGCCTGGGTAAGCTCAGCCCAGAGCACCCCAAAGCAGCTGAGGGGTGCAGGGCCGTCCCCCTGGACGCGGGAGCTGGCTGCTGCAGGGCCTGGGAAGGAGACCATGAGTTCACACCTACATCACTGCTGTCCCATTCTGGTTTTAAGCCCCACCATCAAGGCCATTCTTATGAATGTATTCAACTGGCCAGCGTAAGATTTTACCTGTAGATGTTTTTGTCTGTTCACAGGTTAAATTTGAATGTAAACTAAGATTTAAAGAGTCATATGCAGATGCTTTTTGCTTAACATGTAATTGCTTTTTGTGACTTTTGGAAGAGGGTTAAAAAAATGTTGCTTTCCTAGCGTAAAGTTTTCTTAACCAAAAACTTGGTGAATTTAGCTTCACTAGTCAGTCTACCTCATGTTATTGTTGATGAACTGAAACTGTCTGGAGTTGTGGCTATGGTATGTTTATAATGTGCTTTCATTAAATTGGAATATATTAAGTTACAATTGGAGTCTCTCTTCACTCGCAGTGCCCGGGGGGACTCTGCTGCTGCCTCTGCTCACCCCTCACTGCCAGCACCAGCCCAGAGGGTATGGCCTGAGCCTGGTGTGCTGCCAGCGCCACCAGCTCTCCACCTGGGCACCTGTGAGCTGGGAGCAGCTGTTTCACACAGACAGGAGGGGAGGGGAGCAGGCTGCACATAGCAGCTGTCCTGGCATGAGCCCAAGAGCAATGGGCTTTCTGGCCACCCTTCAGCTCAGGCAGGAGCTGCAGAGCAGAAGCACCTCGGCGCTGCTCACCGAGACTGCCCTGAGAGGAACACCTTGGGCCTTCTATCAATGCACAAAACCTGTTCCAATCTGCTCACAGTCCCCTTGAAAATTACAAGTCATAGCTCAGAAACAGCCTCTGCACACCAGAATTCACCACTGTTCAGCTACTTCAGTTCCAAGTACTCCCAATAGCGCGTTGGAGGCGGTAAGGACCGTGCCAAGGTAAGGAAAGGATCTGTTTGTACTGGGGTAACTGCACAGAAGTCCCAAAACTAAAACAAACCCTAGGTTTGAATATACATCCTTCCCACCTTACTCTAGGGCTTGAAGCTGTGATTCAGGGCAGCATCTCTCACCTGGCTGTGAGCCCTGTCTCGGGCTGGAAGCGGTGCGGCTCCGGGGCGGTCTCCAGGGGAACGCTGACCAGGCAGCTGCACGGGGCTCTCCAGGGGCTGCTTCAAAGCACAGGCGTTAGCCACGGCAGCAGAGCTGCACACACAACAGCACGACAGGTCAATAAAGGTCCACTCACACCCAGCAGCAACACCCAGTAACTTTAAAAAAGCTATCAAGTATTTTATTTTCCATCTATCTACAGTATGTACAGATCGAGAAAGGCCACAGCAGTTTTTCAACATACAAACTCTTTAAAAGAGGGGAGATTTCTGAAGGAGGGACAGGTATCAAAGTGAAGCCCGCTAACAAAGGTCTATACTCAGTACAGTACTGGAAGAAGAATGACAAGTCCACCAGTCCTCGGGGTTTGCATTCCACCCTCTGCAGCTAGTCCCGGGGGAAGGGGCGGGGGCAGCACCAGGCTGGC